ATGCTCTATAGCTGTATTAAACAAGAATAAGGGGAGAATGCTGGGAACTTGGACTCGCATATATTGGAAGCTTTGTAAAACTCTGAGGTGAGGAGATCAAAACAAATTATTAAAGATTTTAAAAAATTATGACATGGTTATCATTACATAGAGGATTGTATTTAGCTTTAGAAGTGAAAAAGAACTGTTCTATGTCCATGGAAATGGACAACATAACTCCTATACCTTTTGCTCCAATGGTCCAGGTGAGAGAGATGACAGCTTCTTTTGTTTTCCTTTTGGGTTTTCTTTATAAGCCCCTGTGGGAACCAAGGCCGCTGCTGAATGGGGTGGCTATCAGATATCTGGGAATAAACCCTATCCTCTAGCAGACTTAGTGTGAGGGGAAAAAGGATGCATGATTTTCTGCCTCCTGTTGCTGGGGCGGCCCTCTGCTATTGCTTCCTCGGGTTTCTAAGAGGAAGAAGTAGCCTGATTCTTTCAAACAAGATTTAAATGATGTTAAATTTTTTGAGCTCATGGAAGATCATACACATACCTACTCCTAACACTGCACCAAACTCATATATGTCTTACTGTGAAAAAAATAGCTTTTAAGACGGCAACACGTTAAAAAAAAAAGGATCAGATTCCTTTTAAAACGTACAGTCCAAGTTATTTTATTGATGAATTTTTCTGTTTTGCACGTTCTTTGAAACATTTATCCTTCAACTTTCAAGGATGATTTTTGCCGAGTCATAGCACATTTCGAGCACACCCACAAACGTGTTTCATGAGATATGGACAATGGTGCGATACCAAGATGTTGCTGGTGTTCAGTTTTAACATAGAGCTCTAGCTTCGAGATATTCAACAGGATCCTGCAATGTTGGTACCAATTCATTTTAAATTAGTGCCTCTTAACAACAAGAAAAAAGAAATTATTGGATATTGCTTCATATTGTTTTCTGAACTTTTTAATTTATGCACCTGTATATATATATTTTTTTTTAGTTAGCAGTAAACATACTGTTTTCTACATTTTCAAGAATAAACTTGTACCTATCTCAAGGGTTTTCTGAAGATCACACTAAGCATTTAAAACAATGTTTGGCACATGGTAAATGCTCAATAAATGTTAACATATCATTAACCATGAAGTTTGTGTTTAAAATAAATTTAAATGCTAAAATATTTCTTGAATGCTTAATTGTACTATGGTGCTATGGTAATAAAAAAGAAAAAAAAAACGAAGCTTGTTTCTGCTAAGACCTTAAAATCTAAGACATATACTGTCAATGTTCTCATTTATGTAGATAGCAAAATGAAACAAATCATTGTTATAATTACAACCAGGTCATGTAAAGAGAAGAGACAGTTTAGGAAGGTTTATGAATCCAGAAAGCACCCAGAATTAGAAAAGAGAATCCTCTTTTTGAAGAGAATCTGTCTTTTTTTTTATGTTCAGTTAGCCAACATGTAGTACATCATAAGTTTTTGTTGTAGTTTTCAACGGTTCATTAGTTGCGAAGAGAATGTGTCAACATGATCAAAACTTCCTGGGTTCAAAAGTCAGTAGAATCAGTGATTCCGAAAAGAATGGCTATGCTTCTGTCAGTTTAATAGTTGTTTAATATCTAAAAAATAGTGATTTCTTACTTTGAGGAAATTTTTTCTGGTAAATTATATACACTATGACACTTGAGAGTTACACAATATTTAATTTGTAGGTTGGTTCCATTATTAGCTGTTAAGCACAAATGGCAAGAATGTTTTTCCTTAACACTCTGACTCTCCATATGCATTCCAACTAATTCTCTAAGAAAGGAAAGAAAGCAAGTCAGATGTACTACGAGAGGGGAAGGCTTTTTTTTTTCCAATTACAAAACCCTATAGTGAGTGAGTGAGTGTGTTGGATGTTTTAAAAATGATGAAAATTAGTAGGTTACCTCCTTTTATCACTGAGATCCAATTTTTCTAAACCTATTGTCTTCAAAACAAACCTACTTTTTCAATTTAATCTCAAGTAACATTTTAAAGCTACTAATGACAACTGAAATCTTAAAAGGCAACTGATTTCGTTTTGTACATCTAATCAGTGAAAGCGCATATTGTCAGGTTCCAGCGACAAAAGATAAGAAAAACTGGTTTTTCTATTTTGCACAGCAAAAAATGAGATGGCAGAAAGAAATGAGGGAACAGCTTTCAAAGGCTCAATATTTCCACGGGGCATGTAAAGTGGATTGGCTATAGAACTCTATGCTGCTTTGCTGGTGGCGAGGAAGGAAGAGTTTGTCACAGGTGATGTTAATCAGAGCTGCCATTTACTGAGCACCTCCTGGGTGCTGGGCATGCCCTCCATACCTCATTTCACACCAATGTCAAGGCATTTTTGCAAGGCAGTTAGTCTCACCCTCACATTGCAGATAAGGAAACTGAAGTTATGTGAGTAAACAAGCAAGTGTTCGAACTCTGGATCCAAAATTGATTCTCTTTCCATACCGTGCCAGATGAAGCCTTTATAGCACTATGAGTAATGCCATTTTAAATATTAAGAAAAGAGCATGTTTTGTGAAGCCTCACAGGAGCCACAAAAATGAATTAAAGTCCCTGCTCCCAAGGACTCACAGTTAAGTAGGGGATAGAATTCAGATCATAATAAATGCAGCACAAGATGCACACATGCTGTGAGGATTCAGACTCCATGTTTCCATCTAGAAGCTGAAACTGAGTTATCGGTCAGTCGCTAGCACACGTACTCCAGCTGAACAGAGCTGAGGGCAAAAGACGCTCATTACATAGATACCCACTGATGCAGGGATAAGCCTGTGCGTGATACTGGGTAGAATTTTGTGTTGATTTTTGCTTGGATGACATTTGGCTCTTAGGAGTTTCTTATGAGAAATGTGCTGCATTTGATAAGACAAATACTTAGAATAAACCAGAAGGCTCTTGATCCATTACTGCATATTAATATACTAAGATACCCCTTCCACCATGTCATTCCTTGGCTCCCCATATTCTTCCTTCACAAGTTCCTCACCTTTCTCCATTCATTTCCCTTCATGTAGACCCTCTGCTCACACTTACACAAACACACACCGAGGCCTGAAGGATCAAATTTTCTAAACAGCTTCACTCCCACCCCTGACTCTGGTCTCAATTTTAAGAAATTCAACATGAACCATTCATGTTGGCCTCCAAGGTAAGATTTCTTTACTATAGTCTTAGGCTGACTTAATTATAAAACTATAAAGACCATAAGGGTAATTTCTTCCTACAAACATTAAGTTCAAATGTGAAAAGTCCACAGGTAGAAGTACAGAGAAATTAACTGGAAAAGTTCCAGGAGGTTAATGTAATTCATACTTTAATTATTCTCTGAATTCTCTTGCTCTTGTTGAGAAGGGACAGCCACTCTAGTCTATTGCCTTTGATTTGTAAATTACTTTAGAGACAAGCTTAGTCTCCTGTTCTCTCTTGGCTCAACATTTTATTTTTATTGAAAAAATACATTTAAAATTGCCTTGGTGCTTGAGTAATTCACTTGATTAAATTAACCCAATAATACTGCTAAACTACTTTAAAAAATATGTAATAACAGAAATGTGCTATTCTTTTTTTATTGTTATAATAAAACATACATTATAATAAAACATACATACATTACATCATTAGTTTTTGATGTAGTGTTCCATGATTCATTGTTTGCGTATAACACCCAGTGCTCCATTCAGCTATTCTTATTTTCAGTTAAATAGTCAATTTAACACAAGAACACTCTCAGAACAAACAAGTAGGTTAAGATTTAGATTTTGTAATTTATTTTAAAAAATTTAAGTTGCCGGGCCCAAATATGTACACAATATTATTTACTTAATTATCACACAATGAAAAGCCACATGGATTTTTAGTAATTTGGAAATAGACTATTACAGGAGGGTACTTCTCTGTTTTTATATTGCTTTTTAAGTTTTACTATAAATGAGTGATAGCTGTATGGTTACAAAGCCTTCGTCTCATATCTAGAATTTCTTTTGGATTATTTAGGCTAATTTTCAAAGCTCTATTAAGGACAAAGTAGGGCTGGATGGATTAAAGAATTCAATTGAGAATATAGAACAACCTATTAAAATATTCACCTGCTTGTCAAGTTTGCACGTCTTACTGCATTTATAGAGTTATTAAGTTTCATTATACTGCATTTAGAGAGTTATTAAGTTTGCAAGGAAAAGTCATTAATTCTTCTCTTTGTCAGGACACCATGACCTCTTACATAAATAACTCTGCCAGGGGAACGCAATGCATCAGTCAGTGCCCTGAAAGAGTTAACACTCGACCGTCAGAAAAATTCTTTTAAATAGGTCATTCATACATGTATAACATCTCACTTCTTAAAGTGGGAAAACCCTTTTGTGTTGATTTATGCATTAGAGGATGAATGTGTCATTTTATACATCTATATCTATGTTATCTATAACGTATGTGTTTACACATGCATATACGTAAGGCATCTCCAAGCACAAGCTTTATGAGTGTGACTGAACTATCATCATCATCAGTGTCATACCCTATCTTGCAGTGGAAGGAAATGTTAGGATCTCAGGTCCCCTTAATATATTTAAAACAATGACAAGTCTCAGAAGTTTGGAATGAGAACTTAGATACCATCCAGACGTTACAAGCCTTTCATTTACAGCACAATCATTGAACTACAATAAAATCGAATAAGTCATAAAGAACTGCAGGTGAAGCCAACTGGAGTTTGGGGATCAGAATTCTAAATCAATTAATTATAAAAATAATGCTAACACACAAAAGCAAGCATGAAAGGAAATAATTGTTCTTCATTTTGAAATGTTAATGAGTAGAGACATTTTCCATCATTGAGTCACTGGACTCATCATGATGAAATTTTCATCCTGAAGTTGTACTGCTTAGGAAGGTGTACAATATATTGGAGTATATAATTCACACATTCATTTTTCTTTTGACTGAAGTCTTGTGTCTTTGACTTCTTCCAAAATTTGGCTTGAGGAGCAGATTCTCATGAATTGCTTTTCTGTGGAAGGATTATAGAGGGGGAAAAAAAAAAGCAATAGTATGAGACATAGTTCTATTTAAGCACAATAGGAAATTAATACATAGAATACACTTCAGAATTCTACATTCTCACAGAGTTGTCCTTGAATATAATTATTAGGAAATGAAAGGAATTTTCTTTCAGATTAGCATTATTAGAGAATAATATGTAAAGAAAGAATTTCTTAGAAAATCTATTCTAAAAGCCTTAGATAAGGCACAAACATAATTACTCTGCTCCTAAGTTCTACAGAGATGAGAAGCTAACACAGAAATTGTATGGGGGCTGAATATAGTGAGAAGGCAGCAACTGATAAGTGAGTTGAATTACATATATGTCTCTGAACCTCAGGCAAACTCCCTCATCTATAATCTTTCTTGGGAATAATTTTGTTCCTTGGACATTAGCAAGGAGCAGTCTGTACAGCACCTCACTGCTAAATTCCTCTCTGATACTAGCACGTGGGAAAAGGGCGCTGGGTTTGTCTCTTTCATCAAATCTGACCCTCAACGTTTCTTAGCTAGAAAGTTGGATTTATGTTACTCCTGGAGAGTACACTAAAGGGATGAGAAGAACTTTTGCTCTTGTGAAAATGGAGTGTTTTCCACAGTTTTCTTCCATTTGGGTATCACAGGAACTGTGTATCCCAAACATTTTCCTGTGAGAAATGAGTTATTGGAATCACCCACGGCCACCACGATGGATAGCTAACTCAGATCCACCTATTCTCACTTCCTATCAGGTATAAACTATGCGCAAGTTCAAGGGCATTAAAGTAATTCATACCCTAACATTTCTAGTTCTTGTTGAGATGACACGGTCCCTCTGTCTCTTATTGTCTTTGACTTGCACATTTCTTTTCAGCAGTATGCTACAAAAATAGGACTAGAGCATTTTTGAATACTTTATATATTTCCCAATATTTCCTGTGAGGTGGGATCAGATTTTATAAACCATTTCACTAACTTCCTAAGACACATTTAATAACTTCATGTGCACAAATATGGGGAAATGAAAAGAAGCCTGAAATTTGGTTCATCTGACTTTCCCCTGTCTTTCCACATATTTGAGGCATGAACTGGGAACAAAAGCATTCATCTTGCTAATATAGAAATGGACATAATTCCCTGGGGACAGCATAATCTGTCTTCTCCCATGCCTTTTGTCATGTCCTTCTGCCCGTAACTGCCTTGTCTTGCCCTGGGTAATGTTCATGGCTTTGGGTGGTAAGTGCTCCATTTTAGAAATAGCATCAAAACATATTTTTTTGAAATAATGCATAATGTAGATTAAAAAACACGTATTAGTTCCACCTGCAAGTCCTATAACAAGGTAGCCTTTAGTAAATGAAGTGAATCTGGCACATGACTCCAAACTTTGTTAAGTATCAGCAGATTGGGTTTTACTAACCTTTTTCCCTGAGAACTTTGTATATGCCATTTACTCTACAGAGCATGACCTTCCTGGGACTAAGTAATTATGTAACAATCATGGTTAAGCTTCAAGAACAATCCACAAGATAACTTGATGAGGCAAGTCCTGCCTATAGGTTTTGTAGCTGGAGTGAATCTTTAAAACTTTCTTTCCTCACTGCAAAGTCTAGGAAACCCAGTAAATCCTTTGAAGATAAGTGCTTAGTCCCAGGTTAAAACTAGAATCCAAAAATGTACAGGTCTTCAGTTCTATCATGATTTTTTAAAAAGATTTTATTTATTTATTTGAGAGAGAGAGAAAGAGAGCTGGGGGAGGGCAGAGGAAGAGGGAGAGAGAGGATCTCCAGCAGGCTTCCCGCTGAGTGCAGAGCACAGGCAGGGTTGGATCCCAAGACCCTGATCATGACCTGAGCCGAAACCAAGAGTCAGATGCTCAACTGATTGAGCCACCCAGGAGCCCCTGTCATGATTTTTTTTGTAATTATGGAAAAACCTTAGTCAATTTTGTAGGCGGAGTTAGGTCCTTTTTACTTGAGCCTTAGAGCCCATCCTAGAGATTCGTTCTTGATGGACATTTCCCAAGATAGATATCACTTGGGCTTATGCTTCAGGTGACATCTAATGGGAACTATATGCTCAATTATCGAGATTATACAAGGGGCCATAATGAAAGAAATAAATGAAATTGGCTTGGTATTTAAGCCAATAGCTGAGGCAGCAACCACTACTCAGCTCTTAGGAATTCCTCTCATGCTGGTACAGAGGCTCCGGAGTTATTAGAGTTTACATTTCTTTCTCTAAGGGAGTACTAATATTTGGGTGTTTTTTAACGTAAAAATCTCCTATTTTTTTAAGTTGGCAACGAATGCTCTTTTTAAAAACCACTCTGTAGGCTAATACTGTTCTGTGTGAACAAAATTCACCTGCAGTTTTCCATGTGTTGTATATCTACTTAACACATGCAGGTGGAAATGAAAACAGGGGACTAAATGACTGGCCAGTTGTGCAGAGGAGGTCATTTGGGTGTGGAGCCTTCATTACTTATTAGAGCTAACAGGCATGAGCACTTCCTATGGCCAAGAACTGTTCTAAATGCTTTACTTGTTGTAGCTCATTTAATGAAACTCCATGAGGTCAACATTTTCATTATGTCCATATTAAATTATCTCCACATTAACTATCATTATCTCCATAGTAGGAGCTTGCTCACAGTTACACAGCTAGTAAGTGTTGGAGTATAGATTCAAATCCAGGTCTGGCTGTAGATCAGGGGTTATTAAACTATATCCACTGTAGGGTCTCCTATACACAACTTTGCAGTTTGGAAAATATGAAGTATACAAAAGAACTTAACTTTTGCTTTTACTTATAGTATTTGTTTTACCTTTTTTTTTAAAAGACACTTTCTGCCTAAGGAATAATTTCACTATGCTGAAGACAAATGTTCAAATAAAAAAAAATCTTACAGAGGTAGCATTGATGAAATAGAATATAAATGAATCCTAATTGGGCATACCCCTCCCAACTCAGAAAGAAGTAACTAATTTATTTCCCTCCAAAAAAGGCAAAAGGCATTAAGAATATTAGCACCAACCTGGATTCCTTGTTTCTACAAAATTTCAGAGTCTGCGTCTTCTGGGGATGAAGATTGGACAGGAAGTGAACTTTTCTATGGATAAAAACCAGACAAATATTAATGCCACAATTTTAGAAACTTAAGACCTTATAAAGAAAAATGCCTCAAGTTCAAAACTTTTTTTGTGTGTTTTGGCTAACGTTTGTTTTCTTTTGATTAAGATGTGCTTTGTAGAGGTTACTTTCAGAAAAATTCACAATTTCATAGATATTTACAAACTTTGATTTCAACTTGTATTTATCTTTTGAAATAGTATTTGATATTTCCATAGGTGAATTAACCCCAGACATTGACTTTCATATTTCCCTGCTGTAATGAAAAGCTAAAATGGAAAGGGTTAAAAAAAAAAAGAGGTAAGGTCTCTTAGCCTATTGATCATGATCCAGTTTTTCTATATACAAATAGAAGATTTTCTCTGAATTTTGCCAACTAAGTATTTTATTGACTTTTCTAGATTTTAGATCATCAGCCAAGAGAGACGACAACTCATTTTGACATATCCGCTCGATCACAAGGAGATGATTTTCCCCCAGTGTTTATACAGTGGACCAGAGAACTCATCACCTTACATTCAAGTCTTTACAACATCCCTCATATCACAACAAGCACTCTCAATGACTTTTATTAAGAAGTATTCTTTAGAGAAGATGCATTTACATGGAGTGATGATAATCAATCATAGGTTTAGATCATTATAGAAGTCACCTACTAGAAGTTGTTGTTATACCCCTGTCATTGCAAAGTTGTTACCCCTCTAAATAAGCCTTTTTAAAAGAATATATATAGTGGTTATAGTGTGGAGATCACAAAGAGAGATCAAGAACAGAGGATGAACGAGAACTCAACTGTACCATTCTTTGGTGACCAGATGCTTAATAATCTAGGATTACATTCTAATTATGGCATCAGAACACACACACAAATGTTGTATCTTAAACATCTTAGATATAAAGTTATAGTAAAGGTTATGTGCTTTGGAATGCTGTGTCATACGGATTTAAAGTTAGCTTTAGTGATGAAGAAAATCACTAAACACATGGAAAACACATGGGTGGGGTTTGAAAAATTTGTATCAGGAAATATGAGACTAAAAAACAGCAAAAATTTTAAACATATGTAAATATATCATGTTATTTTAAATATTTTGCACACAAGTTAAAGTACATACTATATTTAGAAATTTGTTTCATCTATATCCATCAAACTATATTAAATTAAGCGAGACAAAAACTTTGGAAAATCTTTCATTGGGAAAATGGGGGAGAGTTTTATATTTTGGGTTCCTTTATAGGGCAAATGCAAAAAAAAACAAAAAACAAAAAACATTCCACTAGAATAACCCAGTGACTTTTATGTGTCCAGTTGAAAAAGATGGGAGTTTTATGCAGTTTTGTTTCTCTTTGAGTTTAACTGAACTCAGAGGAATAGAGTTGTTCACACCAGCACTTACAGCAAAATTAAAAACTGAATTCTCACCTTTGTCAGTTGGCCAATACAGAAGGCAAATGAGAGGATAGTTATAATGATACCAAGCATTACTGCGTAAATAATCCCTATTATCACTATGGGAGAAAAAGAGAACAGAAAATTACAAAAGTATGAGATAAGCTAACTCATATCAACTAAAAAATAAAACAGATAAAATCAGAGTAATATCACTTTGCCTTTCTATAGAAAATCCATTAATATGCTTTTATGTATATATATATTTTAAAAAATTAGGTTTTTCACAGTAACCATGTGGGAGACTGGAACTTTGAGCACTAACATCTTTGTGCAAGGTCACACATCTAATGACAACCAAGGCTTCAGAGTTCCAACTCACTCCCATTGTTCTTTACAGGACCCCACAAGCATAATTATGGAGAAGAGCTATGTGGGCATTCTACCTTGATATGGAAAAAACCACAAACTCATAGTTTCAAAGTTATGAGAGAAAATAATGTCTTGATGTACAAAAGGGTATTGGGCAGATCATTGAATCAGCAGTTTTGGAGGAAATAAACTCAATATAATATACACTAATATGATATAAAATGTGTACACCAATTAGTATAATTCTAATGTAATATACAAAATACACTACACTGGAAATCTACTAAAAATACTTCTCAAATCTTTTACATGTTGAGAATGAAACAAAATTTAAGTTAGAGGTAGTCTTGCCTATTCATGCATATTTGTTGTGCTTTCAAATGAAGTAAATAGAACTGAAGGCAAGACATACAAGTAAAATGGCATGTTTATTTGGTTAGTTTATATTTAAAAGACTTATTACTGATTTTTTAAAAAGTAAAAGTAGTTTTTCCTGCCACTGGTATTGCCCAGCCTTCCTGTCCATGTAGCTTTAACTCATGAGCTAGTGACTCGATTCTACAATCCATTTTTCTTGTGTGAAGAATGGATGTAGGCCAAGTGTGAAGGGAGGCTTAGAAAGGCGGAATAGTAAATGAGCACATAAATCAACCAAAGCCAGATCCACAGCAGCACCTAAGAAGTGGGGATGGCAGTCCTCCAGTCAGAGAGGGTTGTGAGGATAACCCTAAAGTGGTAGCATAGGGCCCCAAACAAATCAGGATTGAGATATAAATGGTCTATATTTATTCCTGATATGTGCCAAGTAATCAGATGATTTTAAGCTCCTTGCTTTCTTTACAAGTAGGAAACAAGGAAGTTCAATTGTTTTATAAGCTTCTACGAGACTTCTCTCAAGTACCCATGGTTGGTTAGAAAGTTAAAAAATCTAAATTAAAAGAAAAATTATCAAATTATGTACTGCTAGTTCCAAAATATTTAGGAAAATAAGAAATGCATATTTTAATTTTAAAAAGAACATATTTTCCTTGCCTTTACAATTTCGTATCATGAAAGTTAAAAATATACCCTCTTCTGTTTTAAAACCTGATACTTCTTGGGGTGCCTTGGTGGCTCAGTCAGTTAGGTCTCTGACTCTTGGTTCTGGTTCAGGTCATGATCTTGGGGTCATCAGATGGAGCCCCACATTGGGCTCTGTGGTTAACATGGAGTCTGCTTGAGATTCTTTTGTTCTTCCTCTCCCTCCCCATCTGCTCCTCCCCACTCTCTCTCTTTCTCAAGCAAATAAATAAAATCCTTAAAGAAATTAAAAAGATAAAAATTGATGCTTTTTATTTTCTTAGGCATTTGGAACGAGCAATGTGTCATTTAAGATGAAATTACTGCGATTCTATGTCAAGTATTAACATACCTGGTTCAGATAAAGTGTGGTCAATTTGTTGCCTTGCTCCTAAAAACACAAAATTTCAAAATAAAGTCAGAATATATAGGGTGTATCTTTAAAGTTCCATTTTAGAATTACATTATTTAGTGAGTTTCTTTTTATTAACTGTGTTTGGGAAGCTATTGTTCAATTTTAAATAGTTAGCTAGTAAAACTTCTGAGGCAATGTGTCAATTTTAACATTAGTAATTCCACTATCTACTTTCAACTACCCAACAGGTATTCATGGGTCAGACTTTAGCAAACCATCTCCTTAAATGAAGGAAAGGGTATGAGAAAGTACTGGAAGAACCACTTATTGACTTGTACAAGAAGCAGTGCATTTAAAAATACATGTAAAATTGCGGAGAAGAAGGGCGACCCAATGAGCCATCACCCCACGTAAACTTCAGTCCAAACCCAAGAGAGGTCATGTTGGTACCAACTTTCTAGCTTTACACCACAGCCGCCATCTGAATCCAAATCCTTATTGTGTCTCATCTGAGCTTTTGACCACTGTTGCACTGGATTTCCCATCTGCAGAAGTTTCTGGTTTGTTGCCTCAATGCACCTGAAGGCACCACTAGCGTTCACCTGATTATGTTTCTTTCTCTGCAGTCACCAGTGCTATTTTATGTCATGAAGTAGTAAGGATATTGCAGCCTTACAGTTTTCTTGAATTTAGTTATTACAAATAACATATGTTACCGTATGGTATCATGTAGTCAGGGACTTGGCTATATTGGGTCATTCTTTAGAGGTTATGTTTAAAGGTTAATGGGGGCTTGTCTTCTCTTTCTTCATGGCAGTTGATAGTTGTGGTTAGTGTATGAGCCCTGGAACAAAACAGGTGGGGTTTCAGTCACAGAATCTCTCGTACTAGTTATGTGGCCTTGGACAAGTTCCTTAATTGCTCTGTGCTTTAGTAATTTCTTAGGCAAAGGAAGATTGTAATACCTATCTCTTTGGCTTCCTGTGAGGATGAAATTAGGTAATGCGTGAAAACACTTACAATGCCCCACCATGCTAGCCATTATTTCTAGGATTCAGGGCATGTAGCACTGCTTTTGACCTTTAAATGCTTTTCGGTTGGACACCATCCTGTTGGCTTCACATTGAAGTCACTTTGAAAATTAGATTGTTTCATGGAACCTAGAAGCCTAATAATTAGTTCCCAGCCTTAGCCTAATTTTCTTCCCCTGGTCTCTGTTCTTAAAATCTGCTGCTTCCATTTATCCCAGTGCATTTTCTCCATGTTTCTATTAGGTAATGATCCTGCAGCTACTCTAAGTATTTGCTGAGCCTTTTTAAAAAAAATCTGGAGTATCCTGCCTAAACCCCACCTACAAGAGATAATTTCCCTTTCTACTTTCAGCCAGCTCTTGTGAAGTCATCTTTTTCTGAGAAAAATAGCCAGGGACAGCGAATGAGACCTGACCGCCCTTCTCTCATGCCCAGTGTGGCTTAAGAGTTCTCATTTACTAGGCAGTTACGATATGTCAGGCTCAGGGTGAAGCAATTTCTTATTTGATCTCTAGAGAAATATTGTAAGATGAGAACTATGGGCCCATTTGAAAATGAAGGGGACAGAAACCCCCTGGGGACCTCACTCAGGGTCAGCAGGTGGGACAGCTGACCCTGCATGGTTTGACCCCAGCCCTCCTCACCACTGCACGATGGGTCCCTTCCATCTGGCCCACCATTTCATGGTCACAGTCAGCACTTATGTGCTCTGCTAGGTTGTTTTAATTTCTTTAGCCCACAGTATTATTTCTGCGTGATATTCCAGAAGTGAGAATTCCTCTGGAGTAGGGATTGCGTCTACTTGGCGCTGTTTCTCAGTGTTGGTCACAGTTTTGCCACAGTGATGGGTCCAGTTGAATAGAATTGCATCATAACAATGAAGTCCAAAGCAACTATTTTAAAACACGAACAAACCCTGTTTTTTTTTTTGTTGTTGTTTCTCTCTTTTTTCTTTGTTTGTTTCTTAAATTCCACGTATGAGCGAAATCATACGGTATTTGTTTTTCTCTGACTTATTTCACTTAGCATTATACCCTGTAGATCCATCCATGTTGTTGCAAATGACAAGATTTCATTCCTTTTTATAGCTGAGTAACATTCCATTGTGTATATGTACCACATCTTCCTAATCCATGCATCTATGGATGGACACTTGGGCAGCTTCCATATCTTGGCTACTGTAAATAATGCTGCAGTAAACGTAGGGATGCATATATATTTTCCAATTAGTGTTTTCATTTTCTCCTGGTAAATATTCAGTAGTGGAATTATTGGGTCATATGGTATTTCTATTTTTAGTTTTTGTAGGAAACGCCATACTGTTTTTCACAGTGGCTGCACCAGCTTGCATTTCTACCAATAGTGAAATAGTTGAAGGGCATTAAGAGTACATCTCCTGTGATCATATTATTGTACACCTGAAACTAATACCATACTGTATATTAATTATACTTGAATTACAAAAAATTTAAAAAATGAACAAACTTTGTCCCCTGTCTGGAAGTTGTTGGTGTCTAGTAACCAAAGTGTCTTGTCCTGCACCAGGAGTGGTGAGTGATGGTTTCTCTGTGGAAACTAAACCTGTAGAAAACAGAAATTGAGAAAAAGATCAGCAATGAGGTCACTGAGTGGACTCTAGAGCATATCATAAAATGCAAATTTATCCCACGTCCCTCCCTGTGGCAGCTCCAGAATTTCTACATAGCAGGGGCTTACAGATGAGGAAAGTATATCTTCATTTCCTCATGTGTAAAATGATAAAATCTGCCTCAAAATGTCATTGTAAGGACTAAAGTAGTTTTGTGCATGTGTGTACGTGTACACACCCACATTAGTGGAGTACTTGGCACATAATGAGCATGACATACATGTTGGTTATAATTTTTAACATTCTTATAAAGGGAAGAGAGACTGGAAGCTGCTTTTGCATGGCATTTTCCATAACTTTGGGAAATTGTCGATGTTAAAGAAAGGGAGAGGCTCATGATGAAGACATAGGACGAAAGTTCTGCCCCGTGCCTTCCTGTCTCTACCTCCTTGGTACAATTCTACTTCGCTGGTAAAAATTAAAACCAAGACATGACTAAATTCAATTTTCTTCTGGCTTGATAGAGGGCGAGTCAATTCTAAGGTTCCCCACCCATACTTCTTTTGTCTCTTTCTAAAGTAGCATTTCAGAATTTTAATAGAATTGTAGGAAATGCTGGCTCCAGTCTAAGATTACTGGCTGAGGACCCAGATAACCAAGTGATGCAATGAATTCTAGGTTATTCTTTAGAATAAAAACATATAAGCACACAAACATGAATACAAGGTATGTATTCTCACATATCCTTTTAAAATCTCATTAAATATATTATAAATTGATTTTTAAATAACAATGGTGAATCACATGCAATAAATTATGTAGGATTATATTTTTTTCTTTACGGCTCAAGAAAAAAACATTATCTTCTCAGCAGAAATGAATAAAATGTAAACTATTAGAAGCTTCCTTGATTATAATTTAATTTTTTTTATTAAAGTCTGGGTATGCATGATTGGCTTGTTTTAACAGCAATATAGAAGAAAAAATTTCAAAGGGGGAAATCCTGGTTAGTGGTCTTAATCAAAATGAACATCTCAGTAGACACTTTCTAAATATAGCTCAGAAAGACTCTGTACTCGGTTGCCTTGGAAAATGTTGCTATAGTTGCAAGACACATTTCTGGAAATGGATGAACAGAAAGTAAACTTTCACTTTGCTCTGGGTACACATGTTTTCTAGAGTTAACTTTTGACCTCAATCTAAGTCGGATCAGAATCCACTTAATTTGTTTTTTTTCTTTTCAGTTTTGCCAAAAGGGTGCTCCTCTGTTGGATTCAGCATGACAAGTGCAGGAATGTGAGTAAATGCAATTTCCTATTGATAAAACTAAAATTTGGGGGGATTAAGTAGTTCACACTACAGCTGCTGGAGCTGTACCCTACACAGTATTCAATTTCTTGAACATCCCATAATACTTCACCTTAAAAAATCAGTAAGGGATAAAATTTGCAGTGAATGAAGTTTTAGAATTCTCCATTAGTAGGTCAGATTAATTAACCAGGTTAACCATGTGTCACACTGGTCAACGCTATATGATATCAATTATTTTATTCAACTGACATGAATATTTAGCTATGTATTTTCATTCAAGGTAAGGATTTATTATTTGAATTTATTATTTGAATAGGGACTCAATTGTACATTTTTGAAAATTAAAACTTTGTAGATATTAAAATTATTTGTTAGAATACTTCTTTTATCCCGCATGCAGGCTAGCTAATTAAAAATAATTGGAAGAAGCGGCCAAGAAAAATACAAGACGAAGGGCATGAGAACTCACTGTCAGCAAGAGTCATTATAAAGTCAAAGTCCCAAAAATACATCTTTAATGACTTGTCACTTGAGACTCTAAAACTCAAGAAGAAAACAACAAAAATTACTTTTTAAAAAGCCAGGTCCACATTCTGCTGACTTTGGGAGAAGTAGAGACGGTTCAGTGAGCTCTTCAGAACTTCTGACTTCGGTGATACAACCTTTTCCTATTTTTAGTACTTCCCAGAATCTGATTTCATAAATAACTAAAATGGGACATTTGGTAATCACATCTAATATTCCATTCTTCCATTGTGATAAATGAGGTACTATTTTCATTCACTTCATCAAGATTTTAAATTGTCCAGAGAACATTTGCATATATTCTTAGCTTACTTCAACATGGGGTCATGGCAAAAGCTGATTTGATATGATAGGGAAAGTAACTCTGGAAAAATGTGAAGCCCAAACATCCTAGATTCAATAAAACTACTGTTGTCAGATATAGTCACTTCAAATAATGGTGATGATGATAGGTAATATTTATTTACTCTGAGCCATAATTTTGCTATCCTGCCAGGCCAAGATCATTTTCCCTTTATTTCTGTTATATTCTTTTGATTTTTTTGGCTATGCATTCTTTTTTTTTTTTTTTTAAGATTTTTATTTATTTATTTAACAGAGAGAAAGAGCACAAGTAGGCAGAGCGGCAGG